GTTCCTTCCTTAGAAGCACTTTCTTTTCTTGGCTCTCCTCCCTCCCCTGATAATGTCATCTTCAAGCTTAGCCATCTGGAGTCCCTCCATCATGAGTAACCTGTGAGGTGGTGCGGACCTAGGGATGAGGGACAATTTGGGGGACAGTCCCACCATGTGTCATTGAGCCCTTAGGCTAAGCCTCATGTGCCTGTCCCTTCCTGCGTGGCTACCTGCACTCTACTTCAAGTCATATCAAGCCCTTCCAAATCTGGTCTCTGTGACACGTTGATAAACAGGACCCACCTGCCACTGGAACTGTCCTTACAGGGATTTGTCATGCAGTGATCTCTCCAAATAGTGTTGACTCCCTTGCTTATTAGCCATCAGAGAGAGAGAAAAGGAAGCCTACATGCCCCTCCTTTGGATGAGTTGGGTGCATCCTGTTACTGAACAGTGGCTCTGCAATTGTTGAGTGTCTTCACTTAGCATTTAACAGAACCATCTGCACACACACAAACACAGAGGGCTCCTGGTAGGTGTGTGACTAAATGAGCACAGCCTCCTGGGGGCGGGCAGGGTACCAACTTCTACAAGTAATGTGTCAGCTGGAGCCAGGTCCTGATCTGGGAGCTGACCTCTGCCCTGCTTCAGGGTCAAGTGAAAGGGCGATGCACACGAGTCACTCACTCCCTATATCCCAGCACTGAGGAAACAGCTTCCCTCCTTTTAATCAGCATTACCTATGTCAGCATATGGCACTGCTTCACATACYTGTACATTTGAGGAAGTCTGCCTCTCCCTTAGCACCTCTCTTGGCCTCACCATCAGTAGACGGACACATGATCGTGTACCAGGAACACAGAGGTCCCCAWTGCCCCAGACCAGTGCACACTATGGAGGGTAGACTGTGAGGCTTAGCTTGCTCTGATCTGCAAGTTAACCTGGCTCTGTCTGCACATGTGAAGTGCAGAGAGTCCCCCAGAGAATGCAGAGGCACAAGACTGCCACTGTCTCACTGTGACCTTGGGAAATCACTCAGCCTTGCTGTACCCATCTCACGCCCAGATCATATGGAGAGCAGCACCTGCTTCCCGGCTGACTCCCAAGACCGTGACAGAGATAAAACTGCTTCACTCAGCTGTGCCCAGGTCCTGAGGGCAGGCTGCACAGACACCATGTAAGGACAAAGAAAAGTCATCTCTGAAAATCCCTTTATGCAGCTGCCATTTTCTACTTCACTTCTTTGCTGGAAAGATCAGTCAAATTTTATTAGAACCTGTAGGATCCTAGTAAAAAGAGGAATCTGAGAAGGACTGGAGAAGGGTTGTGGCACATAGCCTGTGCAGATGAGCAAACCCACCTACCCTGACAAGAAGACACCTGCTGTGCAAGACTGGAGGCCTGGTCATCCAGATGGGGTTTTATGGCCATACTGGAGCCAATAAACCACAATAAATGTTCATGGAAGTGGAGGGAATGGAATCAGACCAGATGGGAATTACACAGTAAATGCGGGATTGCACTAAGTGCTGGTTTTGTTCCAAAAATGAAGACAGTTAGGAAAAGACTCAGCAAGCAAAAAGGGCCGGTACTGGGTGACAAGGGCCCAATTACAGATGAAGCATGGCTGGAAAAGGGGAGAGTAAGTTGGTACAGGGCATTAACCTAGAACCAGTGACTCCCATGTCACAGAACCTTCCTTGGCATGGCTGGATTTCCTCAAGAAAGGATCATTACTTACTGAACTTCTTTTTCCTCTTTTTATGCCTGCTCTTCTCAATTTGGATGCCTGGGCCCACAGCTTTGGTGTCTGAAGCGAGCCTTCAAGGGAGGAATACTTCTGAAATTGCTAGCAAGATTCCCCAACTGGCTTCAGCCACTAGCGCAACAGTCTTAATAGCTTCAAAAGAGGTGTTAAGCTTCCATTTGACTTTTTTTTTCTTTTTTAAACCTGTTACCAGGAATTGAACCCTAGCACATGGTAGGCAAGTGCTCCACCATTGAGCTACATCCCTAGTCCTTTTATTTTATATGTGAGACAGAGTCTTGCTAAGTTGCCCAGGCTGGCCTGGAATCTCTGGTCCTGCTTCAGCCTCTGGTAGCTGGGATTATAGACCTGTGCCTCACTGCCTGGCTTCTATTTGAGTTTTAAAAATAAAAACATCCCCAAAAACTCAGCCCTCAGGTGCCTGTATTATACACTTTCATGAAATGATCATTCCAGCTTCTAAGCTATATTTACAGTATAATTATGTTATTTTCCTTTCTTCTCAAGCTCTGTGGGTTCTTTCTTGGCTCCATCTATCTGGGTCTTGATTAGAAATCCATGCTAACCAACTTAAGGCTGGTTATTGGAAATCTATTGTGACTGACAGAATAAATGAAATCTCTTTATGTTTAGTCAGCACAACCTGCATCCCACTTGTGCCAGTAAAGACCTCTGGGGCTTGAGGAATTTGAGAAAATGCAGGGGCTTAGCTTACAGATACAATATCCAAATGGCTCCCTGTTGGCATTAGAGAGCGGGTTTTCATCCCAGGTCTCTGGCACAGGCAAGTCATTAGAATTTGCTCAGGCATTTTCCTCTGCTGCTTCTCTTCTTGCCCCAAGCAGAGCAATTACAATTGAAACACATGGCCAGAGGTGCTGGCAAAGTAAGAACAGAGCTATCACAACTTGAAGGAAAGACCAAGAAAGAGTAATGGGAAGTGCATCAGGAAGGTGCTGAGGTTCCCCAGGAGGCAGCCTTCAACCCACCATTATCTGGGAAGCCATGCTATAAAATAAACAGCCCTGACTATATCACGTTAGCAGATAGGGTACACTGTAGCCATCTCCTCCCACCCCAAATCCCCAGAAATGATGGGAAAGATGTATTTTACAACTTCCTAAAGTAAGTAAGTAAGGTTCCCGTGTAACAGAAACCACGGGCAATTGTGAAAAATGAAAGGCAGATGTTTTATTCTTTCTGAAAGAAGAAACCACAACTCTGAATGCACACAGAAAAAAAGCTGCTGCCAAAGAAAGAGGGGATTCAGAGATACTCTCTATGGGGAGCAGGAGGAGACCAGATGCTTGGGTCAGATCTGCAGGCTTGATAGTGGTTATCAGCCAGGAGGAAGAGAAATACCAGAAGACGAGCTTCTGATACACTCAGCCAACAACACTTATGATCATAGGACCTGGCCACGTGTCAGGAAGGAGCCATGGTAAGCAGATGCAGTACTCACAAACAGGCCACAGGGAATTTCAAGAGCGAGWTGAACACACAAACCAGATCCACCAAGAAGTTAAGGAAAGGCAACACCCAAAGTCACAGTACTCAATACAAAAAGAATTTACATGAGAGGAAACTGAGTTTACATAGCAGACACACCAAGATTTAAGAATAATAGCCAGTTGTGGCTAAGGTAGGAGGATCCCGGGGTTCAAAGCCAGCCTCAGCAATTTAGCAAGGCTATAAGCAACCTAGTGAAATCCTGTCTCAAAACTTAAAAAAATTTTAAGAAGGGCTGGGGATGTAGCTCAGTAGTTAAGTGCCCTTGAGTTTAATCCCTGGTACCAAAATAGTAACAATAATAAGTATAATGAATATCCTTAGATGCAAGAGGATAATATCATTTAATTTAAAAAAAAAGAGATGACTTTATCACYAAAAAACAAAAACGAAAACAAACCTATATAGCCCAAACACCACCATGGACATAACTAAAGACTAAACTAGTGATCTGGAAAACTAAGCTAAAGAATCACTCTATGAAATGCCACAAATATCCTATAAATATGTACAATTGCTATGTGTCCATTAAACTATATGTATGTATGTATGTAGAAAAAAAAATCTCTCTAGAACTGTAACTCTCTGAAAGAATAGCCAATAGCCATATGCAGCTACTGAGCACTTAAAATATTGGCTAGTCTGAACTTGGGATTTTTTTTTCTGGTACTGGGGTTTGAACCCAGAAGGCTTAATGACTGAGCACATCTCCAGCCCTTTTTTATATTTTATTTAGAGACAGGGTCTCACTGAGTTGCTTAGGGCCTTGCTTTTTGTTGAGGCTGGCTTTGAACTCGAGATCCTCCTGCCTCAGCCTTCAGAGCCACTGGAATTACAGTGTGCCACCATGCCCAGCTGTACTTAGGATTTAATGTAATACATGAAGTACATATCTGGTTGAAATGCTATTTCTAATACATTGGGCTAAATGTGTTCTTTTGTAGTTGGACACGATGACTTTTATTTTATTTATCTATTTATGTGGTGCTGAGGATCGAACCCAGGGCCTTGCACATGCAAGGCGAGCACTCTTCCACTAAGCCATAATCCCAGCCCCTAGATGTGTTTTTAAAATGAATTTCACCTGTTCATTTTTTTTTCATGTTGTTACCATAAAATTAAAAATTACATGTGTGGTTCATATTACATGGACAGTGCTGCTATGGAACCCAAAGCAAAAAGCAACAGTAAGTATGAAAAGTTAGGATATAGAAGATACAGCTGGATGAACTCTATCTGCCTCTCCTTGCAAAAGAAGAAAAAGAAGGTAGGAGAAGACACACTGAAATAACAGGGAAATTTCCCAGGACTGAATAAATACATGAGGCCCCTCACTGAAAAGGGCCACCAGTGCTGAGGGAAAACAGTGCCACTAAAGGTGGCATGCAGGTAAGGGTGCCTGTTTTCATGTCACCATGGGTGTACATTATCCCAAAGGTTCTAGCCACTGCAAACAACCTAACAGCAAAGGAAAGGAAGAGACATCTTCTTATCTGCAGATGGGATAACTGCCTGCATGACTCCCCTCCACCCACCACTCTGCTTTTGAAAGGCCTGGCACAAACTTGGCTTCTCCATTTCTGGCTTCCAAGGCCTGGGAAAAAGTAGAACATAACTAGCACTTTCTCTTCAGGTAGTCCTGTGTGATCAGGAAGAACTGACATGAGCAGCCAAGAGAGCCCAGAACTATGTCTTCATCCATGGGATAAGTCACAAACGGGGACGTGGAAGGGATGCTTACCGACGGATGGCGTTGGCGAACTCTGCAGCCAGCTCGCTCTCACTGCATGTTGTCCTTAGTTCAGCCAGTGACAGAGCTGGGGAGGCAGCATCAGCACATTCCTGAGGACAGCAAACACATTCTTGTCAGGGCTGAAACCAAGCCCGAGAGCACCTGGAATTTAAATCTGCTGCAGAGCATGTAGGATGCACAGCGTGGGGCTGGTAGCCTCAGATCAGGGTGCAGGGGAAAGCCTGGCAGCAAACCATAGGCAGCCCCCTCTGCTCTAAGACTTCCAGTTACCTTTGCAGGCTGCTTGGCAGCAGCCATCATGACCCCCAGTGTGCTGAGAGCCTGCTGGGGCTGGCACTGGTCTAAGCCCACCACACACATTCACTCATGGAGTCCTCCTGAGGACCCTCTGACGAAGGTACTACTGTGATCCTCACTTTACCAAAAAGAGAATCGTCAGAGAGAGGTCACACTGCCCTGTCACCAGCCAGGAGATGGCAGCTCTAGGACTTAAATGCAGGCTGTCTGGCTTCAGATGAGTCTCTTCACATAAGCAATGCTCATGAATATCCTAGTTGCCCCATCCGACTTCTCCTGGGGAGAAAGCCAGTTTTCTCTAGATTTAGGAGCTTTACTGGGTTCCATGTCATCATCTGGAAAACTTAAGAAAGGAGAAGAACAAATGCATCCCGTGCACCTCACCTTCCCTCATGTAGTATTATCAGACAGGGACCGTGTATCATTTAAGGCGAATTCTCCCCTTTTGCAGCTGAGAAACGTAAGAAGCTAGAATTCCTGAATCCCAGAGGTAAGACTTCACCAGCAGCAAGCATGCCCGTGTGACTGTTCTACTTTACAAACAGAGCTGCAGTGACACTGCATAATGAGGTGGCCATTGGGAAGGAACTCATCAGATGATGTGCTCAACAGACATCTGTACTGAGGGTCTATCATGCTCCAGGCCACAGAATAAAAAGCCTGTGATCTGTTGCAGGAGATGGAACGTAAACAGAAAATTCTATTACTGTGGGATGAATCCAGTGCGGCAAGTCCAGATGACAGGAGGCACCCTTTTTCTCAGCCTACTTTCACAGAGAAACAACACCTACCCCGAGGGATCCTGGGCAGCAGCATACCAACACCTGAACGTTCTTCTCTCTGGCATGTCCTCTACCTGGGCTTGCTCCTGTCCTTCTAGCTGTCCTCACAAAGCCAAGTCTGCCCACAGCATCTGTGAGATCCCATAACACCCTTGCTTTTTGTACATCCAGTCTCTGATGTTGACATTCCACACGACTCCTTAAAGACAGGGACTGCCTCGTCTCACAGTGCCTGTTGCTGAATATATGTAGTAATGCCTGTTGCGTGTAGACAAGGACTACAAAAACCGAATGCCACTTGGAGTGGATTTTGGACCCAGCTTATTAGCTGGAGGGAMGTTTTTAAACAAGCAGGGATATCCACCCAGTGGAACAAGACCCAAATGTGGCCCACCACCACCCGGTTATATACAGCCCACCGGGTAGAGACTGGTTTTTCTTTCTTAAAAGCATGACAAAAAGTCAAATGAAGAATATTTTGTGATGGCAGACATTGCATGAAATTCAGATTTCAGTGTCCATCAAGAAAGCATTAATAACAACAGCCACACCCATTGGTGTCCTAGGAGGGCAGGGACATGACCCACAACCCTAAAATATTTACTATCTGCTCCTTTCCAGAAAAGTTTGCAGATCCCTGCTCTAGACCRTGGGCCTCATCTCCAGCAAATAAGACCAACAAAGAAGACTAGCCCAGAGGGGAAATTTTATTGAAATAGTAAATAGATACAATATTTGAAAATAGAGTAGGCTGATTATCAAATATTAGATCTATTTACTAAGTGAATTTCCTAACACTTATAAGGGTACATGGGAACCTTCACAAAGCATCTTACTGTAATGTTAAAAAAAGTCATCTGGCCTTCTCTATCAGAGAAATTTCTATATTTTGAATACTCCACCAAACACAGTGCTTCCCCCAGTCAAAATAAATATCAAGTATTAGGAGACAATGCTTAGCTCAGGGGGCCTTTGGCAGGAGCCTGGTAAGTCCATCCCCACCCTATCCTCAGAACACACACAGACTAGAGCTCTGTCTCTCAGGCTCAGTCCCCAGTTGACCACTAACAAACTTGAAAACCTATAAAAGATCTTGAGGGTGTTTTATGGGACAGAAAATACTACCATATGACTTGCACCATGTAGGGTGCTGCCCACCCCACCCGCAACATGACTCCCCAAACTCTGGTTCACTTGCCAGTGTCTTTTCCAAAGCTCATACTGTATCACATCACTCCCTGCAGACAGACTCTTCCATGGTTCCTCACTGTCCTCAGGAGAACATGGCTGGCTGACCCCTCCACCATCGGTTTCTCTTTTCTCTGTATTGYATATGCTGTCCCGTTGGCCTAGAGTGTGTGCCTTCTCTCCCCTAGTCCTCCAGACCAGCCCTCTTCAGCAGGCTAGTTCCCATCCTCTGTGGGTCTCAGTTTAGAACCAGGATCATGTCTTCCAGCAACCTGTACTGAATCTTCCTTCAAGTCTGAACTCTGTGGCCAACTCACAGTCTCCCATAACCCTGTAAGTTGATACCGGCACTTGGAACACCCCATCACTCCACCCTGATCATGTCTACCTATCACCCTCCCCTTCAGAATATAAATTCCTGGAGGACAGTCCTCATTGGTCTACCATGGGGCTGCCTCCTGCAGCTTGCCCAGGTCCTAGCATACAGTGTCAGATCACACTCCTCAACTGAATGGATTACTGAGAGCAGCCAGGGTCCTACGAGAGCTGGCAAGACTAGGTGCCAGGCTGTGTGCTCTCTAGGTTCCTCACCAGGAGTAGGGAAAGTTGTAGCTGTGGCCATTTGTGAAGCATRCTGCAGAGCTCTGAGGTATTTAGATAGTGACAATTCATACCATATGGCACCAGCACTGTCCCTTCCTTCCTGGGTACCCAACTCTCGGGGAGACCTCCCTGCCCTTGTGCTGAGAGGCCGCTTACAAAACAAGTCAGCATATGCCCACAAATTCTAGGTCGGAAACAAACTCAGTTTAGGAGAAGGTGCATTTATTAGTATGATGCATAGAATAAAACAGTACCCCAGATGAGGAATATAATTCTTTAGGGTCCAGAGCTTGCTTCCCCCCACCCCCTTTCCTTTTTCAATGCAGTTATTTGGAACAGAGAAAGAATGAGCTTGGATTCTAGGAAAAAAGACCTGGAGAGCTGATAGGTATGCAGGTTTACAAAATTATAACACCAGACACACACACACACACACACACACACACACACACACACACACACACACTGACGTTGTACATGCTCTATAATCCAAGGCCAGTCCCCTCCTCCCCTGCCCTCAGGCTGCTTCCTGTTCATCACCCACTGTGGCTGAAATGCTGCCAGGGCAGAGGAGGCAGGCAGATGAGGGGAGGCCAGCCTGTCAGCCAAGTGTGGGTTTAAGCCTGATGCTGCTGTTTTCAGCTGGAGACTCCTCGCTTCTTTAGAGCCTCACCTTCCTCATATAAATGGACACAAATATTCCTTCTTTAGAGATGAGAGATCTAAGGGAGATACTAATACAGTGATTAGCCCAGAAGTACCACAAATCAACAAATGATGGCTGCAGGATGCAGGGGGACTATAAGAAGGTGAGACCAATATCAGACCACTGGGCCATCRCACAGATCACTCCTCTGATTAGACTGCCACGTGTGAAAATGTTTTGTGAGATTTGTTTTTTTCAATGTGAATTTGGTTTCTCTACGCTCAATGTCATCCTGTTAGTCATCTAGGAATGAGTAGCAGCTCATATCCAAACAAGGAAACTGAGGCAGTTGGATAGAGACGTCAGTGGTCATTTGCAGGAAGTACCACCTGAGCCAAGGGTGCTCTGTGCCACCCAGCCCTACCTTGCTGGGTTTGTCCTTGCTGCTGCTGCTGGTGGAGCTGAGGGACCGCATCCGCTGTTCCTTCTGCTCCTCCACCTCGGATTTGAGGTGCTCAATGTGCACCAGGTAGGCCTGCTCCTGTGCCTCACGCGTGCTCAGCTTCAGCTCCAGGGCCTTCTTCTCTTTCTCCAGTAGGTACAGTTGTGCCTTCAGCTCAGCCATCTCCTCCTACAGAGTGAGGAGCACAGGGTATATGAATGCCCGTTGTGTGCCAGCACCAAGTGTCATGGGGGTCTGGCTACAACCCAGGGCCTGCGATAGTGATCACTCTGAAAGTGGGAATAAGATTACTGAACAAAGATGGAACTGATGTGTGGACAAAGCTATATGCTTTGTTACTATAGGAACTAGCAGTAAGTAAATGGGTACAAGTCATAGGAAAGCAGATTTTGGTTCAGTGTGAAGAAAGCCTTCCTAATAGTTCCTAGGACCCCCAATGGGCACACTTTCCGTGTTGGAAATCAGTTCTCTGGCATATAGAGGCTGAGCTGGAGCAGCCCAAGGTTGTACATCCACGTAAGAAGCTGGGTCTCACTGGGTCCCTTCTGATTCCCACTCAGTTGCTATGGCACCAAGCTATATATTTAACCACCCCAGATGGCACCCTTGTGACCCTGCAGCTGAGCCATGCAGGTGGAGGACTCCCATCACAACAGCATCCTCTAGCTCTTGACTACTTCTGAAGGCTCCAGTGAAAGCAATAGGAATGGAGTCCTTTATATGGGATTTCTCTTCAGATAACTTCTCTTCCAGTGCTGGTGATTAGACCTAGAGTAGCCTTGTGCATGCTAGGCACACAACCTACCACTAAGCTCACCCCCACTAGATAACTTCTAAGAGAATCTTAAAGGATTCAAATGGTTGTTTCCTATAGAGAGTAAGAAGTGAATCCCAAATGGGACAACACTAACTTTGGACCACCAGCCTCTATTGAGCACATAATACTGTTTTAAGGGTTCACAAGAAGTAATTCATTTATTCCTCCCAATCCAAGATAAGTACTATAACCATTTTCATTTGTGAATGGGAAACTGAGGCATGCAGAGGGACATTCACAGGCCCATGGCTCTGGACAGCTGGAAAGCCAGAGTTGGAACCCAGGCTGTTGGGCTCAGAGCCCAGGCTCATCAACACTAAGTTCTGCTGTTTCCCCCCTGCTTCAAGATGTGCCTGATCATGACCGTGGCCCTTCACCTCTACTCAAGGGTGGGTCACCACTGTGTGACCATCAGCCTAGCTTCCCCAATGGTTTATTTCTATGATTCCTTGCTCAAAAGGGCTCTGCAGAAAGCTGGGCTGCCTTAAGATGGACTCACCAAGGCCTTTGGTTCTGGCTGCCCCTGATGGTAATGAACTGGTATGCTCTCCTGGGTACATGTTTTTACCCTTCAAGGTAGTTTAAAGCCTTCTCGGGGATACAGGAGAGCTCAGAATTAATGAGTTCAGAAGAACAAGCCAATTATTAATGAGCTCAGAAGAACAGGCCATTTTGTTTTTCCTGGAAGACCAGGCATAAAAATCAGAATGAAGAGTATTTCCATCCCAGAAACCTTCTCATCTTTTCCCATCAGAAGCAGGATTGTGAAGGTTCTAGTAACACTGCATATCGAGCTAATGTGCACATTCACTCAAACATAAATGCAAGTTAGAAAGAAGAGAAGGAAAACCCATAGGTCCATAGATGAAGAGAGAAGTCCAGCAAGGTGGACAGAGGTATGAGGCAGGTCTGCAGGCCCTGCCATCTGGGATCTTATCATCTATGCAAGGGTAGGTCTGTGACTCTGGGACTCTCAAAGTATTGTCCAAAATAAGAGTCTAGAAAACTTCCTTTCTGGCAATTTGGTTAAAAAAATTGTCATATCTCAAGCTATGGGAGAATAAAGAAAGAAAAGGCCCTTTTGAGGAATCAAAACCTCAAACTTGTGTCATATGTATGTGTGGTAGAAGAAATCTTAAGCCAAGAATGCACCCCAAACTAGCAATAAACCTCTGAAACCCACAGGTCTCACTGATCTAAACAGAACTATTTTGCAGGGACAGCAACAACCCAGGGCCCACAGGACCCCCGGTGACAGGATGTCCACAGATGAGCCTGTACACATGTTCTCTACCTCCCATCACAGGAAATGAGAATGAAGCACAAAGAGGGAGAATCAGCAGACACAACAGAAGTGAGAGCTGGCATTCACAGAAGCAGAAGTAACAGAATATGAAAAACTAATATTTCAAATGATTCATGGAATAAAGGAGTAGGGGTCACAAAGAAAGCATAGGTCATCCAAAAAAGAAGGGCGGATTTTTAAAGTGACCAAATAAATCGTCTAGAGGCAAAAAGGTATTTACCAAGAATCATATACAAGAAGTAAAAAAAAAAAAAACCAAAAAAACAAAACCTCAGAAACTTGAGTGTCTCTGTAGTTATATTCTAGAACAAAATGGTAAAAATCTAACAAAAGCTGCTGGATTACAGAGCATGTACAACATCATCAGTCTGTACTGATGAGTATATATTGGCAAACACACTGGGGAAAAGGCGATGGGCTGATGCTTAGCCTTGGGCAGTGACGACCCCCCATCCTGAGGTTCAGGCTATGGGTTGTCTCTTCCCAGCTCTCTGTAATTTTTACTCTTTCAGCAAAGTTCTAAGATCATGCATATTTTATTTTCACATAGCAAAAGGAATATCAGAGAGCTTTTATGCCACAAAAGCATGTCTTTCCTGGCCAGTATAACGCTGAATTTGTCACACCACATGTTGGCCACAATATAAAAAGGAAAATTTTAGTCTATGGCCAAAGGAAATATGAAGTTTGGAATAAATAATGGAAGGGTGGCCTCGTGGCTCATGCCCACAGGGTGCAAGTGTCCACAAAGGGGGGGCTCCTAATTGGAGCCACTGTGATTATAGACCCAAGGCCAGGTCCTGGGCAGTGAGAGGAGAGATCAGCTAGTGTGATATGAGAACTCTCCAGGGAGGGAATCTGAACCAAGGGGCTGGAAGGAGACAAGCAAGTGTGGACATGGAGCAAAATGGTGGGCTCCCCACATCTGTACCCACTGCCCAGAGTCTTCCCAGACACAAGTTCCAGCACCCAAGGGCAAGGACTTGCTGAGCAGGGTGCCCAAGTGYGTTGAGATAACTACTACTGACAGCCTCTGCCCCCCCTCCAGAGGCAGTGGGGAATCTTTCTGGGGACGATACTGGTCTCCATGGTAGAGAAATGTTGTGGGCTATTTCTGTGGCATTGCTGTGACCCTCTCTGCCTCCAGTTCCTAAGCTGTGAGCTGGCTTTTGCCTGAGAATGCCCATGGCATGTCCCAACGCCTGTGGGCCAGGGACATGGTAGAATCCAAGACTCTGCAATTCAGGCCACTGTTCACAAAACAGCAGAGTTTGGAAAGCAGGTTTAGAGAGATGGCGCCCAGACTCTAATTCTCCCCGATCACCTGGCAGTTCAGCCCAGTGCTGCCCCAGGTCCTGCAAGAGCAGCCCAAGCAAGCTCCCACCTCTGTGAGTCAGCAGAGTCACAGGTTAACTGCTTACCAATGAGTGGCAGCTGTTTTCCCAGAAGCTCCCTCTGCCCTGCAAATGCTGATAGAGAACTCAGCCAGTGGGTGAATGGCCCAAGATCTTATAGGATATTTAGCCTAAACAGCATCGCCAAACTTCCCTGCAGACACTGTGGTCTGAGCAGGCTTCACACTGCACCCACGTCTCCAGGGTGTCAAAAAAACAGGGTTCTCAGTCAAGTTCTGCACCTGGCCTCACCCTGGTCTGGCCCCGCCTCCAGTTAACATCAGCCTTAGTGACCCAAGAAATACTTTCACACATTCTTGATATTAGAGGCCATTGTAAAAGGACAGAGGCTTATTCTAGCCTGTTGATGTCTGGCTTGACTTCTCTTGGAGGAATAAGTATTCTAGAGCTCAGCTGAGACACCCCAAAGCATCCTCTAGAATGTAACCACCCCTCCATGAATGTCCAGCCCAAATGACCCCTGGACAAATGGAAACCACACTGTCCACTAGCAAGGTTCTGACTCTACTCTGGGGAGAAGAGGCTGAACATGGATGGGGATGATTTCTAATCTGCTGACCCCACCCCCATTCCCAGGCCTGTGATCTCCCCACCAGGCCAGCAGCAGGCTGACCCCACAGCACACCTTCATGGCCATCAGCTCCTGCATCAGCACCGCATTCTCCAGGTCCAGCCTCTGGCTGTCCCCCCGGGGCTTGACGTCATAGCTGAGAGGATCGATGTGGATGCTCTCCAGCTCTAACATGGTCAGCTTGACCGCAGCTCTGTCATTCTTGAGCTGCTGGATATAATCCTTCAGCCTTTGCTCATCTTCTTTTGTGAACTCGGTGTCGCAGCTGCTGGCTGTGGAGCTCGTTGTGCTGAGAAGAAAAGAAAAACACCACATTTCCAAGCCATTACTAATAGATCTTTTCTCATCCCTCTCCCCCAAAGTATCTAGAATGGTAGTGGAAAAAAGAAGTATTTTTAGCCAGATTTGGTGGTGCACACCTGTAACCTCAACAACTAGGGAGGCTGAAGCTGGAAGATCACAATTTAAGGCTAGCCTGGAGAATTTAGACCCTGTCTTAAAAAGAAAAGGGACCGGGGATATAGCTCAGTGGTACAGTGCCCCTGGGTTCAATCTCCAATACCACAAAGAATATATATTTTATGACACAGAATACTGATACTACCTTTTAGGCAAGAAATAAGTATGAAGAATAATAAAAATGTTTATACTTTGAGGTAACATTGTAGAACTCTAAAACTGAACTACAAGGATAATCCCACAGAAGCAAAAAGATACACATGTACAAAGCTGTTTGACATATATAATCTAAAATAAGGTTTAGTGTATTATTATACATCAGAAGGGAGAGAAATGATGTGGACATTATGGTGATAACCATGAGTATGGTAGAGATATTTTAAGTGAGGCAACAGAATGAAAACTACATGTAATAAAAATAGATGCACATGTGTAAGAGATAACATTAAGGGAACAAGAGATTGAAGAATATGATCTATATGGCATGATCTATAGCTATGTGTGCGCACACACTCACAAGCACACGTATCCCAGAGTGGCAGCAGTCCCCTGGGGTGGAATGTGGAAGGAAGGGTGGTTTTGCATTGATTCCTCTATTGCTTATTGTACCCCAAGAAACAGGTGAGTATAATATAGCAAGAACAATGCTCAAAGTGGGTGACTTAGTTCTCCACAGCACATTCTTAAGTGTCCAACAGAGGGTCTTGGTCCAATCCAGGTGGCCCTTGGCAGCTCAGGTTGCACAGCAACTGGGTAGGTGCACCCAGCTGAAGCTTGGGCCTTTGTTGGCACAGGAGAGTTTCTGAGGGACCAAATCACCAAGAAAGGGAAAGGGCCACAGGAAAACTGAGGCTCAAGAGGATTCCAGCCTGTCCCAGCAGTGGCAAGCTGGCTCCATTAGCTCAGAATGAGCCACTGCACCTAGGCCGTCCTGGAGGTTTCTGAGCCCCGTTGGACCCACAGCAATTTCTCTACCCGCACTGGGCCTGCCTAAGCTTGGCTCACTCCTCTTGGAACTGGTTTTGGAAAAGATGGAAGATTGAATTCTCAACCAAACAGGGCAGGCTGGCATTATCATCACCATTATTACAGATTTAGAAACCAAAGCTCAGAGACATTAAGTGGCTGGTGGAGTCATGGGGCTGAAAGTGGTGTAACACTTGGCTAAGGATTCTTATTCCACAGCTCTGTCCTCTTCCCAAGATTCCTGCAGCTAGAAGCCAGGCAAGAAGCAGGGAGAGGTCTCCACAGCCTGCCCTCCGGATCTTGCACTGGAATAGGGCAATGGGCAGAGGAGTCCGAATCAKCAAGGGCAATTCCACTCTTGCACATGAAGGAGACAAAGCTGGGTGCAGTGGCCTGTGTCATGGGAGGCTGAGGCAGGAGAATCCCTGAAGTCCAGGAGTTCAAGGCCTGCCTACGCAAGACCCTGTCTCAAAACAGAGAAGGCTTCCAGGGAGATGAAGGGTGAGAAGAGAAGGTGGGTTGGAGCCTGCCTGGGTCCACATGAGGAAAAGACCACTTTATGGCTCGGGTGGCCTTTGAGTCAGAGAATAACTTCCAGGACAGCTAATTCCTGAGTACCAAAGACCTTCAGTGTAGCCCCTCACTCCTTTTGTCCCATCATCACAGAAAAGAAGTCACTGGGAGATGAAATGAGACCAACCTGACCATCTTACACCACCCCTCGGGCAGTGGGAGGTGAGGGAAATGTCCGTGGGGCTGGGCCACAGCGCCCAGGTACTTGCAAAACATGTCTAGATGGTGCTATGAAGGCATATTTTAGATGTAATTAACATTTAAGTCATAAGTCTCTGAGTAAAGAAGATTAGTCCCCATAATATCCTCATCCAATCAGGTGAAAGCCTTAAAAGACTGATACCCCCCAAGAAGGAAGAAATCATGCCCCCACAGCCTCCAGACTCAGGACTCAACAAGGACTCTTTCTTGTATCTCCACCCTCAACTGGAGACCTCAGACTTGACAGCCGATAATCAAATGAGTCGATTCCTTCAGATGGTCGTGTGTGTGTGTGTGTGTGTGTGTGTGTGTGTGTGTGTGTGTGTAGAAACAGATAACATATTGACACCTCTCCAGCACTCTACTAGATCCACTGCCTATTGGTTCTCTGTCTTTGCAGAGCTCTAACACTGAAGTGCTGCTTTTACTCCTGACCTGGGTGTCTTACATTTTGTAGATTTCCTATTTCATCACCAGTAAAATGAAAGTAATTAACAGTACCTGCTCCGTAGACATGTGGGAAGGAAAAAATATCACTGAGGTGCTTAGACAGTGCCCAGGGTAGGGTAAGCACACAACAAATGTAGCTGTCATTCATTTATTCAAGAAATACCAGAGTGCCTCCTAAGCCCTGGAAAAGTCCTTGCCTGAGCAGAACTCCTATTCCAACAGGGGATMCAAGCAATCATGTGACTGATTACTGTGTGAATGACACAGTACATCAGGCAGTGAGAAGCATAATGGAGAACAATGGAGAGAGACACATGGGGAGGGCAGAGTGGGGTGGGGTCATTATCTAACAAGGTCTGCAGGGCAATGTTACAACTGAAGGGACCAAAAGGAGGCAAGAAAAAGAGCTATGGGGATATGTAGAGGAAGACTGTGCTGGCAAAGGACACAGCAAGTGCAAAAGCCCTGCGGCACTGAACTTGACTGGCAGGAATGAGATAGTGGCAAGCCAAGTCAGCCAGGGAAGGAAGAAGGAGAAGAGGTCAGAGAGGAGGCTGCGCACCGTTCCACATAGGATTTTATAAGGATTGCATCTTTTTCTCTAGAATTAGAATGCAAGTTATTGAAGTGGTGACAAAATCCACCTATTACATTTTAACAGGACCCCCCTGGCTTCTATGCTGAGGAGAGATGCAGGGAGGACAGGGCAGAAAGAGGGAGAGCCCTTAGGAAGCTATTGCAATAGTCCTGGGGAGAGACCGTGGAAGTCTAGCAGGGTGTGAGCTGGGAATGCAGGGAAAGGATAAAAATAATCATTACTGATCACTATTTTGTTTTCTTCAGCTGTCTTTTAAAAAGGATGAGAAGGAAGAAGGCACCTTCCCACACCTTGGGTGCTGTTCCATAAAGAAATCACACAGCTCAAAGAAGCAGGACCGATCATACAGTACCCATAGTGCAGGGCCCTGGGGAGCTAGGCGGCACATGAGAGGAACTTCCTCAAAAGAGAAAACAAGGGCATCACAGGAAAGCCCTGTCTGCAAACAGCTCTGTGGTGGGTATGCAGTGCACAGGCGGGACTCAGGAGCTCACCTCAGGCTGTCAGCATTGCCATGGAGAGACAGTCATTTTCCCCAGATGAATGAGCAGGAAAATTAAAGCAAACTCAGGTGTTGGCATTGTTCAGCAGGCGTTCCGTGGGGCTGAGCATGATGTTTGCAGACAAGGTGGGTTTAGAAAGCGAGGCACTGGGGGATAGCAGGGCTTCTCTTCTACTTAGTTGGAAGGAGCCCTCAGGAAGGAACTCCTCCCCCGTGAAGCTGGGACTCAGCCCCCCAAATCAACTTAAACCTCTAGCCTTTCCTTTCATTGAAAATTATCTTATAAAATTTCAAATGCATAGAAACACACAGACAATAACCAACACCCCACGTGCCTGCCATTTACATGACACCTTGTTTTCTTCTACTACTGTTTTTAGAAACACACCTTTCATACTTGAAGCACCCTCAATAGACTTTCATTTGAAATAAAAATTGCAAAATTCAAATAGGACTGAGAGTCATAGTACTCTTCATTATTCTGCAGACCTTGAGTGATATTTTGTCAGATTTTCCACTTAGCAAGATCAGTCTACCTCAAGAAGGATCCCTGGGCTGGCCACATTAGTGATGCCTGGGTTCTTGTCAGGATTACACATTCCCAAGCCTCAGGCCTCAGACCCATAGAGTCAGGGACTCCACTAGGTGGCCCAGCAATCTGTGTTTTAATAGAGATTCTGATGCAAGTCTGAGAACTTTTGTTCTCAAGTTTGTCTACCCCACAGGATAAACCAGCATCTTCTAGTAACTGGACACCCTCACATTTTCTAGGTAGAGGCCACTATGTTCCCAGGTTGCTCAGGCGGATGCCGCTGGCTTCCAGCACATCTCTGAAATCAGTCTGTAGATTCTTCCTCTGGCCCTTCCTAACCTCACAGGCCTGAGTGAATTACACAAACTTTCTACACTGCAATAAATAGGAACACTAATGGTTCACACTTCCCCAGGCATGAAAAGGACCAGCTCATGCGGCCACAAAGCTCTTGTTCTAGGCAAGGAGCAGGGATGGGGCCACTTTCCAGATAGCTGGGCCAACAGTCACACAACACCCACCCCAGACCTAGGGACCCTCGAGGGGTCAGCCATTGCAGCCATCTAGAAAACCCCCATCTGAGAAGAAAAGTAGTTTCCACTGGAATTGACTTTAAAGACCACTTAGAACTGTTTGGGAGAGCTGGGTGTGGTGGACACCTGTAATCCCAGTGACTTGGGAGGCTGAGGCAGGAGGGTTGCAAGAGGTCAGCAGCCTCAGCAACATAGCAAGATCCTAAGCAACCTAGTGAGACCCTATCTCAAAAGAAAAAATAAATAAGGGTCAGGGGATATGGCTCTGTGGTTAAGTGTTCCTGGGTTCAATCCCCTGTACCTGCCCCTCCCCCAAAAAACTACTTGGAAGACTAGCTGGAGATGATCCCTGGTTGAGTAAGAAGGCTTTTTGCTATAAGCATAATTTTCAGAAAGGAATTAAAAAAAAAAAAAAGATCTCAGTTCACAGATCTGACCCTGTTGGAAGCTGACAGCCTTAAACTGCTCTTAAGCA